GACATTAAAAGAAATGAAAGCAGAAAGAGTCCGTGAATTCCGCGTCAGACGGTCTTAATTCAGGTGAGATTCTAATAGAAAGGCTGTCACGACAAACCTGCAAGCCCCAGTGTTAACCACCTATCAGCTCTCTCCAGTGGAAAAAGTCTACTTTTAGGTTTAAAATCTAATTCAGTATAGGTTTAGCATATAGCAAGGGAACACACTACAAAATAGGGAAAATTCGCTTAGGAGAAATACCTATTTACCTCAATCAGTTGTATGCTTTTGAAGCTGGCCCTGATACTAACCGTATTTTTAAATTTCCTCGAGTTTGTCCAATCATTCATCTTTAAATATGACTTTTCTACCCCTTGTATCAAGTATTCTGCATAAAATAGATAGTAAATCTTCTGGCTGAAATACATAACCCAGGAACCCCTCCTCTGCTTCTACTTTGCGAGTAACCTTTAGCAAGAAATCTAATTAGACTTCTTTGTGCCTCAATTTATGCACAAATTATGCCTTTCATTTGTTCAAGGGACTTCACTCCAATTGTTAAGGGATTTTGAGAGCCTGTGATAGAGGTGCTGCACAAGAGCCGCAGTGCTATCAGCAAACGCCAGCTCATACCTGGACAACCCTCTGATGGGTAGTAACGACTGCATCCAGCTGCATTTTGGAACCTCGCTCTTCCAAGAACAGCACTTCATTGGTTTTGGTGGGCATCGCGTAGCTGCAGGAACCACAAGTCAGTGCTTAGGACAGGGAGGATATATTTGCAGTACTTTACAGGAATGAATCAACCTCCAGCAGCAGAGAATGTGGAAGGAGATTAACTTTTCATGAGAAATTAATTATGCAAACAATGTATCTTGCAAATCAAGCACTGGCAGAAGCCGGGTATTTTACTGGAGAATGATAAGGGCACTACTGCCAGCAAAAACCTGTTTCAGCTACAAACACCAGCCCGAGAACTTTCAACTTCTTTATAGCTGAAGGACAGCTTTAAAGCAATAGTTCTGACTTATTTTGTAATCTGTTCATCAGGAACAGAGCTAAAAACCACTGCTGCAACACACCACTCAACAGACATTATTTTCACCTCTGAATTTAACACAAGTACGATCAGGCACTGGATCAGATTCTGCCCTCCAGTGTAGTGTTACTCTAGAGACCTCAGCCTCCCCATCTCCATTTGCACAGCATCAATAACAACAGACTACATCTTACTGCCCACGTTTTACACTACAGTTTTTGCTCTTAAAGGGCAAATAATTTCTCTGTATATACTGAACCCTGCACAGCAAGTCCAACCTCAGAGGGCACAAGTACGATACAAGGTAATAACGCTTTATACTGAAAGTGCTATCAGGAGCCTCAGGCTGTGGGATTTCTGTGCAAATGCTTTCCAGCAGGTTGCTGCTGACACTGTTATAATTTCTTAGTGTCGCTGAGCATCCTTCTCGAAACAAACACCTATCAGTCACCGATGTGTCACAATTTTTAGTGCTGTTTGGGGCAAAAGACATCACAGAGAGACTACAAGCGACTGATCTATGGACACAGGATTTCAGATCCACGGCTGACAGTTCAGCAAGGTGGATGAACATAAAGAAAACGATAGGTTTAATCGGCATGGGCAGGAACCAGCGCTTATACTCAGAGGTGCAGTTAAAGATACATTTCAGAGAATCACCACTAAGTGTTTTTATTTCCTTACAGCAACGCAGTGCTTCTCCCAGTGATTACAGCTCCTTGGGTGCACTGCAGGCACCAAGGAGCTGTATCACATTCCTCAGACTTATTAAAACCAGCAAAGCTGCTATCAGGGGCACACCTGCTTCGGAATCTAGTGTGCAACTGAAGCATCCTCTACTAACTGAAGTAGCAGGTAGCTCTCCCACAATCTTCAAGGATCTCCCAAGCTCATTCTAGTTTGTATAATCAGTATCGCTTGCTTACTGCAAAGCCTAGATGAAACACTATAAAGAAAAAACAGCAGCAAAAGTCAGCAGTACTTAAATCCAAATTCCTGGGCTCAGCACTCACAGGCTTAAGCCTCTTTCTCAAAGGAATGAGATGTTAGCAGCTATTTTTTCTCGAGATCTGTTCAGTCAGTGCCTGAACAACTCCATTTCAGCCTTCCGTATACAAATAAAGCACCCAAAACCACACAGACACACAAAAAGAGAACACCAGGCAGATGACAGAAGATTTGGATTTATATGTGGGAATCTATCAGAGAGATTAGACTGTGCCCTTGTCTGCAAGGTATCAAAATCTATGAGCCTCACATTGCCTAATGCAACGTGATTGCGAGGGATGACAAACACAGAGCCGTGTTCCTCATACCTTTCATTCACCTTAATGGAGAGTCGGTTGCAGAGTTTATGCACATACTGAGCAAAATGCTCCACAAGACACATATCATAGGAAGTCATCTGGATGTTGATATCTCCGTACTCATATTCAGTCCCAACATTTATCTCTTTCATCTGTACTTTATCCTTTTTCTTTTTTGAAGCCTGTATTTTAAAAAAAAAGCAAGCATATCTGTTTTGAACAAAGCTGGAAATAAAAACAACATTAACTCTTGCCCACACAAGAGACCATGCCAGGGTACTCTCTTCTGAGAAAGGTTTGCTGAGTTTGCTGAACTATGTCAAAAATATCACAGCCCATCTGTGCTCACTTTCCCTGACTACGAAACTGGGATGACATTATCTTAACAGATGTTCTCAAGTTGAGCAGTTCAATTCTTGGATGGCAGCACTACAGAAGTCACACAGCAAATACGTGCATATCATGATTAATTTCTTCCAGAAGAAACCAAAGAGTAGAAAACAAACTGCTTTTTATTTCAGTTCCTGCCTTTGAGGCAGCTGTCTAGATGAGTTATTGTTTCCTCCTTCCACAAAAATTGTCATTTTTCCAAATTTCAGGGAATGTAAAAAGTTTAAATGCAAATAAGACCTGATCACAATATTCTGCAATAATTTGAAGTTGGACTGTTAAATTCAGCATCAGGAAGAAATTCCTTCCTCTCAAAACTACTCATTAACTTAAACAAGAATGTACTGGACAAAAGAAAGTATTTATGCAGTGTTGTGAGTGGGTACTTCATGTGACATAGCACTCTTTACCAAGAGAAGTAGCAGTAAATGATTACATTATTCCTTTTTAATATGATTCATCAGCCATGGAATTAATATCACCAACATTTAAATCAGACTGTAGAAAGATGGGTCAGCTGAAAGCAAACACAGTAGGGGAGTTCTTATGCCTACCTCCTTTGGGAGCAGATACTTAAACCTCCCAATACCATGCGTAGGACGAGATCTGTAGTGTCTGTAGCAACTCACAAGTGCATCACCTTAAAATCAAAACAGAGCAAACATGTTTCCAGCTGCATGGCAGACATCCCTTTTAACAAACGTACATGGGTGCTTTGAGAGCCCAAAATGCACACTGGGGACAAGAATTTGTCCTTGGTTCTTTGACAGAAGGCAAAGGCAAGCTAAGGCTTTGGCCAACCTCTGCCCCACACAGGCAGCCTGTGCATCACAGCAAGCCTGTTACAATTCACAGTTGGTTACGGTGAGCCACAAATAAGGAAGGAAGAGATTAAAAGTGACTCATTTCCCAGGTGAATTCTCAGGCAAACAAAAAGACAGACTTGTCAGCACCAGTGCATGGTGAAGATATTGATGAAACGTTACACCTGTCTCCTCTTATGCGACAGCAGCAATGCTACTATGATAGATCTAAGCCCCATTTAATTTTATATCCAGTCCTGTTCAAATATTCATGTGCTAGGAAGCCAAATCAAAACAGCATCAGCTTTTATTTATACTTCCTTCTCCAGGGTAAAATGAAACCCTCAATAACCCTCATTTTAATAAATGAAGCTCAGAACAGCAAAGAGAAGGATCTAAGCCACTCAGTTACATTTTGCCGCCAAATCAAAATCAAATTCTATTTTAAATTGTGACAGCAGATTCCACCAGCTCAATAAATGTTAAAGTGGGACCTCATGGGGGTGTAAGCCAGTTCCTGGGCAGTAATACAGCAAATAAGTGTCTGTCTGGTATCACTCCACAGCATAACACCATGACTAGTACCACCTGCTTAGCCAAGAACACCGAAACAGAAGAAAAGGTTAGGAAAAAAGGTATGAAGTGGAAGAGCACCTGCTCAAGTTATCTAACCAGTCCAAAATTGGCTAAAAAAATAAAATAAAAAAGAGACACAAACATTCAAATGTGTAATATTTACTTTGGGTAAATGAAGTTTTGCCTTACATTGGATTAATAACAGGCCTTACCTGCAGCACACAGACGGCCTTCTCTGGGTGTTGCTGCTCTGTAAGAAACACATTAAAATATGTGATTTCACCCACCTCCACACAAACACAACAGATCTGGCCAATCTCCTTGAACAAATGCTCACATCCCAAGTCCCTCAGACACAGCTAGATCCCACTAGCAAAGAGACTTTCTCTTCTTCACATCCTACAGCCCTTTCAGCTCCCAGACATCACCTGAAAGTCCTCCCTTTACAATTAAAACATTTTCCTTGGCAAAAAGTATTTTTTTTTGTCATGTAAGTTTTCTTACACTGTCAGTAGAAGTGACCAAGTGTTTTTAATGCCTTATAGTGTGTTTTACTTACTGGGTTTGATTTCAGACCACTCACCTGCTGAGCACAAACACCTGCTTTAGCAATGCTCCCTTGTTCAAGCACAGCACCTGCAATGAGCCACCACGGTCAAAATGCAAACAGCACGGCAGATACTCAGTGAGTTTTCACCAACACTTCCCAGACTACACCCACGACTCTGAACATACCAATAACCCTCCCAAACTCTCCACAGCCTCCAGCCCCTATCACTCCCCAGAATACTGCCACAACACAGAGAAAAGGGATGAAGGAGAAGGAAGGTGATGACTGCGGTAACCTTCTCATGCACTCCCTCACTTTGCTTCAGGATCCAACAAGGTAGGAGGCCCTCCTCCCCTTAGTTACAGATCACATTCATCCCTCACACCATCCCACCACCTCCTGGTTACAAAAGCCACATCAACAACCCTCGTGCTTGTTCCAGCTCCATATAGACAGAGGGAAACGCAGCTCAGCCATCACCAAGGCAGTGCAAAGTAAAGAGCTTTGCTGTCACCACAACCCTGGCAGGCAGGAGCTACATCATGCCAACCACAGCGGGGGGATAATTACCAATGTTCCCAAAAAGGAACCAGAGGGACAGGGAGGACCAGGGATCTGACGGTCCCCGAGGGCTGTGACAGGGCAGGGGGCTGTAACGGACCCGGTGTCACTGGGGTGACCCCTGGGTGCCTGAGGACGGGTGTGGGGGGCAATTTCTCTGCCCCTGGCCCAGGTACCCCAGCGCAGGCGACCCAGGGCACTAATTCAGGGTGAGGCCTGTGTCCCCCCAACAGACACACACACACACACACCC